CCATTATTTATATCTCAGCATGTCTGAAGCGCAATTTGTATCCTGACCTCATTAATGAATAACGACACCTTGACCCACTCTAAGCAATGTCAGACCAAGAGGCATCCTGCTCTCCTGGCCCACACTGGAGTAGGGCAACCCCAACGAAAACCACTCGAGTAGATTACCTGAGTTACAGCAGTACCAGAACAATGCAAATCCTGCAGCAACGCTAAAGCAAGCGAGGAAAAATACCGGACCTAAAGGAAACGAAAAAGGAAACACACTGAGACACAAGAGAGCAGCTGAAGTTTAGCTCAGTTCCTAAATCATCAATGGCTATTAATACGCAGAATTGAGTGTATTCAAATGAAGCTAACACATTCACCGTTATATATGCTCTGTAGCTAGTGTACTATGAAGCACATTTATTCCACTGTAATTGATTTTACTACAATTGCTTTGACACCATTCACTGTTTGCTCCAGTTCATCTAGCTATGCGCTCTGAAATGTAAGTGAAAGCTTCCTTAGATGTTTTCTTACTCTAAAACTTTGTGCAAAAATACCTTTAAACTCTACAACAAAATACTAACCATACAACTGGGACCTCACCACACAGTGTAGCAGTTTACTCTATGAATAGCCCCCCTGGGCCAATGCACTGCCTGTGGACACAAGCACATCACAGGAAACTGCAGTCCCTCAGAAGCAGGTTCCTAGGGTCTTGGGTTTTTCCTACATATGTATCACAAATTCCACCTTCATGCCAAGAACAAATATTCTTGTTCCTGCTTACAATTCTCTGGCCATAGAAATGCACAGCCACACACACACCTAAGACAAATCTCCCACTGGAAATGTTTCCTCATGTGCTGCCTGGAACTACATGCAGATTAACACTGATGTTCATTACTGATGTTCAATTAAACCTTTCTAATTCATACTTCTCCACAGAAAAAAAATCATAAAGAGTTATAACTGCTGCTTTATTATTTACTATTCCATTGTATTTACTTCTTCACTATGAATATAGCTACAATTGAACTGAACCTGTCAATTTAAGGACAAAGGTACTGCAGACTAACATATTAGTGGAGCTGACCATATGGTTAAGGTCATGGAGGAAATGGCAACAGAGCAAAGACGTGGTTGTTCCTTTGGATGTCATCTCCCAATGAGGGTGGCTACCAGCCAGATGACCTCCAGTCTGGGGCCAGCTCTTTCATCAGCATGAGTAAAATCAGAAATGATTTCATCTTCCTATTCCCAAGCACTTTCTGTTCCTCCTGTACTGTTACCCTGCAGTCAGCAATAGCAATGTGAAAAATCTGAGTAGCAGGTTGGTTCAATATTCAAAGCAACAACAAAGGCAAAAATATACATTGAGTTACTGTGTTTCTGCCCCTCGTTTCAGTTTTATCTTGGGGAAAACTGACAAAAAGTGCATAGAAGGTGCTTTTAGGCTCTCATAATTGTATCCAAATTACTAAATAAACATCAATTAAACTTCAACAACAAAATAGTTCATTATACATTTTGAAAATTCTCCCACTTTCTTTCAGAAGTTCAATTCCTTCTCACAGTATTTTTCAGTGAATAAAATATTTGCCTCTGCAATCTGGGCATTGAACAGAAAAAGGGGAAAAAAATTAACATATTTTCCTAAGGAAAATATATTTAAGTTCATCCTTGTTCATCTTCCTTTCTACCTTTGTTTTCAAATGATTTGTACATATATTGAAAGCTTAAAAAAAAAGAAAAAATGTTTAAAGGTACATAAAAAAATTACTGACAGCCTTATGCAAAATGCTAGCAGCAGCAGCAGCTGAATAGACCTGTTGTTCAAGCGTTGAAGAAATCATAGGAAATTAGGAGTTTAGCTATAACAGTGTAAGCAAAAATACCATTGTAAATATTGATTAAGCTCTACAGTCTCTTGAATTTCCTGGCACTGGTTTCCACAACTGCAGGTCAGTACGTTTTCCTCCATTAATTCCGTTTAACGAATGACAGTAATGACATCATAAAACAGACAGTTACATGAAATGCAAATTACATGATAAAATAAATTGCATCATAATCTGAAAAGCCATTCCATCCGGCGACACTGTATGCATTTATTTACCCCTGTCATTTAGTATATATTTCTCCTTGCCAGTGTCTATCTCTGTGGAATCTGTGGTTTCTAGAAATAAAAGCAACACATGAAAAGTTAGTACTTGGCTCAAGCAAACAAACATAATCAGCACATGCAAAACTGTGCAAAACAATACATTTCAGAAAAATATCCAATTTGGATATAAAATATAAACCCCTCCAATGGTAGATCATCACTACAGTTAAATCTGGTTATACGCTGATCAAAAGACACAGGCACACAGTCATTTGAATACAACTATAAATAGCTGCAGCGACACCTTGGATCTGGTTAAGCACTTAACCACATAAGTAACATTACACTTGTTTCCCAAATGAGGAAAATAGGAGCTAATCCTTCCAGAATGCCAGAAATTCTCATTGTAATGAATACAAATGATTTGTTAATATCTGCTAATCTGAAAACACCCTTGTAATTTAATGCATTGCCATTCTTTCTGTTCTTGAGTAAATCTCTGAGCATTGATGTATCTGGCAGATAAAGCAATTGGAACAAAATGCTTGGTGCAGATTATTGATCCAAGTTCTGGGTTTGGCTAAAGACGCATTCAGCTTCTTTGAAAGTCTGCAGGTTCTAGGTGCAAATAATTTGGCGCAAATAATTTTTACCTCTATCTTTCTGCTAATTCTAGTAGAAAAAGAGGTTGACCTTAAGAGAAGGTGTTCAGTAGTCAGCAGCAATGAAGGAGTTTCTGCTTTGGACAGAAAGACCTGCAGCTCTTTTAGAGGTGCCTTTGCCATATAGATCTGGAAATAACATCACCTGCAGAACACGTGTGCAACATGGAAAAGCACTGCTGTCGCCATAAATGGTAATCACTTTCCCTTAATGCATCATGACTCTGCACAACAACTTTCTGAGCCAAACCTCTCTGTGGTTAAAAAAAAGGTAAGAAGTGAGAGATCCAGATTTGGCTGTCAACAGGGCAGAATTTGAGACTGTTTGGTGTCAACTGATCTCCTTCTTTTACATGACAATCTGGAGCTACGTAAGGTGCCTTGGAAAACTGCCTTGGACACCAAGTCAGCACAGGGGACCTGCTGCCAGCCAACACTAGTGGTGAACATCTACCTTCCATGCTAAATGCATCCCCTTGGGGGAATGAGGGACATGGTGTTCAAGCAGAACAGAGACACCTGAAGCACTTTGCTGCAGAGGCTGAGACTCGCTGAAGGGGAAAGGATTGATGCCAAGCCTCCACAGCACACCTGAGATCAATGGCAATCCTACACAGCCTGCCCATTTTGAGGGATGGCCTCCCTACGTACTTCAGCTAAGAGATCTTCATACTTCACAGCACAGCCAAATCTCTGCACTTTTGTAAGGCTATCACTGTGGGGCTGATCTGATCCTTCATCTTTCTAGTCTATGTCAGCACTGAGAGAAATAAAACCACTTTGAGTCACTCGGAAGATCCTGTTTGGCTCCAGAGCTCGGAAGCTGCCCATGCCATGGGCCTTACCCACCCTCTAGTGGAATTCTGAGACATTACTCAACACTTCACTTGCACTATATTAAACTGGAAGCAAAGAAATTTTGTTCTAGAACAAATTTTAAAGTTGTTTAAAAAAATTTGAAGTAAATCCAATACCTAAAGGGGCTACAGGAAACCTGGAGAGGGGCTTTCAACAATGGCCTGTAGGGACAGGACAAGGGGAATGGCTTTAACCTGCCAGAGGGGAGACTGAGATGAGCTCTGAGGCAGAAGTTCTTCCCTGTGAGGGTGCTGAGGCACTGGCACAGGGTGCCCAGAGAAGCTGTGGCTGCCCCATCCCTGGCAGTGTTCAAGGCCAGGTTGGACACAGGGGCTTGGAGCAACATGCTCTAGTGGAAGGTGTCCCTGCCCGTGGCGGGGGGTGGAACTGGATTAGCTTTAAGGTCCCTTCAACACAAACCATTCTAGGATTCTATGATCTTTGAAAGGATTTCCTCTGAAAGACATTTTTCATATATATACCTGCATGTAACCTATTACAAAACTCCATCCTGGCCATAATTCATCAGTGTCCTCCCCAGTGATTTCCCCAGGCGTTCATAAAGCTGCTTATTTCACTTCAATCTGCATTTAGAACACAGTCCCCATGTTAGGGATTTCCTTTTTTTTTCACATTTGCAAATTCTAGTGTCAATTCTATAGCAATTCTGTGCTACATTTGACTAATAACTACTCCTATGAGTAACATGAGTAACATAAAAATTTACAATACAATAAAAATTGTATGTTAGAGGTCTGAAGGACAATGCATTCAATATTCAGAATGTCCAAGTTCACTCAAATGAGAAATAGCACCTCATATTGAAAAGAAAGCTTTTGCTAAAGAATAAATTTGTTTGTGACTTTAGCTTAAAATGCTGCACATCTATTGACCATTCAATCCAGAATGCAGACATTTGTTTTAGTTACAAACATATTAACACAATCATTTCATTATTTCCTCCTCAGGTCAATACTGCAGAATCTCAGCATGTAGTGGTATTTTCACTCCGTTATTTAAATTATTCTCATTGTTCTGAGGATGGTAACATAAGGGAGTGTAACAACATACAGATCAACATGGTCACAGCTATGCCATTTCTAGTACCCAGCTGAAATCAGACCATCTATATGGGATGTAGTCAGGCTTTGGCTACTGCATACCAGTATGTCAATACACATTTTCAGAAATGGCTTGTAGAAGGTGTTAATTGAACATTTAACAGAGCTTAAACTCTTATACCATTGACACACTCTTGAAGTTTCATTCTTAGTGACTACACTAAGACTTCTTAAGTTGCTTTTAATTAATAAAGGCTGTCTGCTGCCTTCTAGTCAGCCTGGCAGACAAACTTGTCACTCTTGAGCTCTACCTGAGTCAAAACAACAGATCCAAGACTATTTGATTTAAAAGCCTGCTTCCTCAAACGGCATGACTTCTGCAAGGTGAGTATCAGTTCAAAGGCACTGCCTTAAAGCTGCTGCAAGGCTGAATCAACTGGGATTCATATTCATCTGAGAGTCTGAAACAGGGATGAGCCCAAACTTCCCAGTTCAAGAAGGTTCACGTATGGATCTGGAGACCTGGGGTAACTTTGCAGCCTCCCTGTGCAGGCAGGACAATGTTGCAGTCTTCCACTGGTATGTATTTGAGCTGAGTAGAAACAAAACTCATCCTTCAAAATGAAAGGCCAAATGAAGCTACGCAATGCATATCTTCAAAGGTAACTACAATTTACATGTCATTTTCACTCCAGAAATAAAAGAGGTCTAACCTATGGACTTCTGGTGTAAAGGTTTGAGTCTCAATGGAGTTTTTGACCCACATGTCTAAAATAGCCCCTGGCACCTAACTGTAGAGTTTCTTACAACTAGAAATAAAGTGACCGGTGAAGCATGAGAGCTATTAGATACTTTATAAGGATTTCTTAAACTGCATTCCCTTTGCAGCTTGTTTAACTGAAATGTGAGAGCTCTCCTTCAAGCTCCTTAAGTCATTTCAGTATGCAGGATGCCTGAACACACTTCCCATCCATTTGGAACATTACGCTTTTCTCCAGTTCATCAGGCTGGAGTGGGGGGGAAACAAACCCAAACCAACTACCAAACACCAACACATAGCAAGCATTATCCCTGGCAAGCCAGGCTTGATACTTTCCATTAAAGAAATCAGCTCCTTTGCAGTACAGAATCAAATCTGTTTGAGCCTCAGTGCTCCTGAAGCAGATATATATATATAGTCGGGGGCGGGCAGTTAATGGACATAAGTAAGGTGTCAGCTGCACAAACCAAATCCTAAATGCCTAACATCACAGTTCATCATCGCAAGGGCCTATGAATGTTTGTTTCACTTGAAACTAGACACAACTAGGAGATACATGGATGGAGGGAAAGCCAAGCTTCTGGGCCACTAGAATTCTGAGCTTAACAAATTTGAGCTTTGTAATGTTCTCATATGCTACTAGTCAGAATAAACACATAGGAAATAAACAAGTCATTAAGAAGCAGTGGTTCATAAGTTATCTTGCTGTCTTACATGTTGCACTTAAACTCTTTTAAAGACATCTTTCATACTGCAAAAAAATCAAAGTGTTTGGATCTGCTCACACTAGGCAACAAATAAGAACTATGCAGTCAAATCTTACAGCTTTTGGAAAATTCCAGTCAGAAGAAATTAAGGTATACCCCAAAAAATATCTAAATAACCTAAATACCTTATTTAAATAACCTAAACCTCATCTTAAATGAGGTTTCGTAGTACACCGATGAGAAAATCCACAACCCAATCAATTTACAAATCAACTTACTCAAGACCTTCCTGCTTGGCAGATCATTATACAGCTGTTCAGCATTGATCTGTAGAGCTCTGTAAAACTCTTGGCAGTGTCTCTCTCCTTTTTTTTGAAGGTGCTTTATCAGATCTGAAAGTCTGGTATGGAGTGATGCCTTTGGATTCCTGAACTGTAAGAGAAAAGCACACATCAGAAGAGAGATGACAGCAGCTGGACATCAATTTTACACCACTTTACAATATGTGATGGAGTGAAGATATGGAGCTTATTTTACATTTTGCTAAAAGAACGGGTCAAAAAATGAGGGGAACCTAAAAAGGACACACATGTATTGCACAGCAGTCTTCAGGACACTGAGCTCAATCTGGTTAGCACTGCTGATGGAGAGCATACTGCCTCTGCCCTCCCTCATTCCTTTTTCTGTCCTGATAAAGTGACAGTTACTCTCTGTTTGAATGTGTTTTCCCTGCATTCAAACTAACACAGTGCTTGTTATTCTATAATTTGATTCTGACAGCTATTGATAGAAAATAACAACAAATCTCACAATAAAGTTTTCTGTTTTCAAATTTTCCCTTAGTTGCCTAGTAATGATCACCCAGGAAGGTCGTTTACACTGCTTACATTTATCCCAATATGTGTTCATCATTCTAATATTTTGTGTTTCGTTGCTTCCAGCACAATCAAATGCTGCAACATGTACAAATTCTCAATACTCAGGCAACATGGCAAGAAAGTACCCTTTTAATGTAGCCCAAAATGTGATAAATATTAGGAGACCTTACAATGAGAATGAAAACATTTACCCTACACACATCAAACTGATTTCAGCTTATTTGGAAAATGACTAAAGCCATTCTCAGCAAAGCACTGTGTTTCAGACCAGTACAGTAAATAACCTTTGTGGTATACTTAAGATCAATTCCTGCTCTATTGGGACAGAAATGCAACATACCTTATATACAATACTCCTTACTCTGACAAAATTCCAAAATTTCCGCAAGGTCTACCAGATACAGCTGAGTGTAAGCTTCCTAAACACTTAATAGAGCTGACAGAAACTTCCCTAGAGCTCTGCGACAGCAGTTCATTTCTGTCTGCTACGTGCAAAAGTCCCAAATTGCATTTCACAGATTTATGTGTTTATGCTTTTTTTTCTTTGAAGCTCTTGAGGAAATGAGATGATCTTTCACTGTGCACGTCACATTGTTTATCGTAACTGAGTGGCTAGACTGGCTCACCTGATGATCTAGCACTGCTCTACACCACTACTCATCCCATGGAGTTTGATTATGACAAAGCTGGACCTATATTTCCCAGAGTTAAAATACTGCTATGCCAAATCCTGAGTCTTGTGCAGTGAAGGGGGGATGGCTTTCCACCATACATGGTGGCACTGCTGGAAGGTGTTACTAATTCCATCCCTGTCCTACAACTGCCACACTTACAGATGGGCCTAATGCCCCTCTTCTCTACCATTACTCAGAGTTATTAATCACATTAATCAGCAACTCAAATTGATTAAGCTAATACAGATGATTTTGTGGACACAGCTGGATACAGCACAGATCATCTGACAATACTCACAATGACTCATGTGAGAAGGCAGGCATGCGGGGCATTTGGTCACACGATGGGTGCAATCATGCCACAGAGCGGTCATAAGATAGCGTGCTTCTGCACACGCAGTGTCAGTCGTCATGGCTGGAATGGTGGCATTAAGTTACTAACGAAGAGAGTGGCCTCTCTCACAACACCTTGGCACAGGGAATATGCCAGCCCCATGACTCTCTCATGTAAGAAGCCAGATACAACTGGTCAGCAAGTAAGAAGTGAGGCCAGCTTGGATGGAGTCTTGGGTGACATGGTTTAGTGTGTGGTGGCAGGGGGTTGGAACTAGATGATCTTAAGGTCCTTTCCAACCCAAACCATTCTATGATTCTATGAGGAAGACTTGCTGCATGTGGCACCAAGAGTCAAGTCAGAAAGAGGGCAGCTGAGCTACTGACCCACAAAAACAATGCAACATTCAGAGATACAGTAAAATTCATCAATTTACCTTTTCTGCTTCTGCATTGGTAAGAATTTGGGGGTAGACTCTGTTAAGCTGAAGAATAATTTTATCAACTACTTGCTCATTCAGTCGGCTATTGCTTGTGAGAAAGTACATGTCGTGCTGCAGCCGATGACAATACGACTGATCTGGAGATAAAATAATACAAAGAACAAACCACAGCAGTTAGTTAGCAAGCCATTTTTGAATTCTGTACATTTAATTTTCCTAACAATGGTTAAATAGCTAAAAATAAAATTACCACCATCACATAATTTTAGAAAGCTGAACTATCTGTTAGGGAACCAGAAGATAGCTGTGTGCTTTCAAAAACATATCCACTTAAAATGGCACGCATCTGAATTCCTGGCTGGCCCCTTACACTGTCTCTCTCTTTCAAAAGAGAGAAGGTTCTAAATTATTTAGGTGTCAAGCACTATGGGATATTTAATCAAATACAGTCCTAAAGTCGTTAAAACACTGAAGATTAACCTTCTATTGTTTATGGAGTCAGATTATGGAGTTTAAAACTAATGTGTTTTATAAATTTTTTGACGTAAATATGAAAGCATACACTGAAACAGAACTGGAAGATCAGGAACAGCATCTCTGCCAAAGAGCCATCAAGTTTTTTAGGGTAGGACATCTGCCTTAACTTTATACAGGAGTGGGGAGGAAAGGCAGCCCAAAAGCAGTACATTTTTGCCACGTAAGTACATTCAAATAAACATACAGTTAACGCACATATTTTAATATTAACCCAAACCTCTGCAAATACACAAACCCAGACCTGCTGTTGTTTTAGGCACCCTTTCCAATTCAACAGCAACGGATTTTGCAGGAGCACAGCTTTCCCCATAGCTCCTTGTTTATAGTCCCTAGATTAAGACAGGCACAGACTGGTTCCACAGGTAACTGTTCCCTTAACAGATTTAGGTAGGGAATGTCTATGACCCTGTCTGAAGTAAGTGTTAAAATGTCAGTACACCACTTTATAACCAAGAAGCATAGAAAAAAAACACCAAACCATCCCCACTGCACCCCCAGCACATTCCCCAAGTAAAACAAATGCATAGGTTTATGGTATTTTGGCTACCAGAAAATACACAAACATCAGCCCTTTTCTCCCTCCAATTTAGAGAAGATAAATGAAAGAACGGAGAAGAGTCAGGAAACTGGCATGATGCACTGCACCTATGCACAGCTCTTACCCTCTCTGTATTGTGTTTGGGGGTTTGCTGCATTACACTGTCATTTTCCTGTATCTCTGTAGCACTAACAGCATTTTTACAGGAAAGGGTTCAGAAAAACCTCCCACTACGACCACCATGCACTAGTAACTTCTCCAGTGCCAGTGTCACTCCTATTCAAACAAGAACACACGGCTATTGATATGGTAACAGAGCTGTGATTCTACAGGCACAACAGCATTTCAGTTACATTCTTAGTCTTTATACAAACACTGTATTATTTTTGTGTGTTTCTAATGCCTCGCTTTTCCGCTCGCTGTCAAAACTGACAGAAATATCCTGCCTTGACGTACTTGCTGTGCAACTCCCTTTTGCAAGAAGTTCCATGTTATCTGATTCAGGGTTCAGATCAAACTTCTCTTCAAGTCAACACATTAGCATACACAAGAGGCTGTGGCAAGGAGTGGGAAACTGTGAACTTGTGTCTGTGCATGTCCCTGCTACTTCCTCCTCCTTCTTCTGCCTCTGCTACATGATTTGTAGGATTCTCAGTGTCACCAACAATGGTGTACCTTCTGCAAACTTACAAAAAAAGTGCATTAAACCAGGGACTTACAGCTAGCACAGCAATTAAACTTCAAACACCAAACCCCAGCAAGTGCTAAAGGCATGCAAAATTCTGGCAGAAGGAGCATACAAAATAAAATAAAAGCAGGCTCAAAGTGTCATCAACCTTCCCTGGTTCTTGCTCTGTTGCTGGCTTGTCACTACTGATCCCCACACAGGCAGTGTGCACAAGCATGAATTACACCAGTGAAATTGACTGTGACAACTGAAGATCACAATTAAGCCAAGAACATCTTCTGAGCAGCGAGGAGCACTCTGTGTCCTCGTGGCACTTTCATTTACACACACTATTAAACCACCACCAGTCTTACCGAGGGCTTTGTGCTGCCATCTGAAACCTCACTCCCGGTGCACCTTCTAATGGGGCAGAAGCCTCTCTGGGATTTCAGAGCTGGCTTTGTTTTCTTCCCATCTAAGCCAAAAGGCAGGAGAGGAGAATGCTCTTGACCTCTCTGCCTACTGCTAAACTGTGCCTGCCATGGACAGGTCTTATGCCTGACTCAGGCATTTCCAAGACTCATCTCCCATCCTATAGGATGCTCCATTTTTAAGAAGCACCCATGAAGAAGTATGCTTCTTCCACATTGCCACAGTTACGTTTTGCCTGCCTGCACCTTCACCTCCTCCAAATTACTGCAGTATTTAGGATGGGGTATAAGGTTTAAAATTGCCTGAAAAGCAGTTCTCAAGCTCAACACTCACTCGATAAAAGTAGAGCAGAAGTATCTCACCCTTCAAGTATCTCACCTCTCTTTTCTGAAATCTTTTGTCTCTCCTCTAACTCTGAGAAATCTCTGCCCAAACCACACAAGGAGCTGCCTTTTGGAAGATCAGAGGAGTGAACCTTCCCATTGACACCAGCGCGGAATTGTGCCTCAGCTACTAAACTTAAAAAAACCAAAAAAAAGCCCCACCAATCCTGGTGGCTGGATCATGGCCCCTGCTCTGGAGCGATAAGCGTATCTGGAAAGCACACATGCACATTTGAAGCCACCACATGATGGTCCCAGGGCCAGCTTGCCCCAGGAGCTCCAGCACCTTTGCTATGGCAGAGACTTGCTCCAACGCACTGCCAGCCATGGCCTGGTTATGGGCCTACAAACATGACCATGCTATGAGGTTTTATAATCGCGGCAGCGTTTTAGTATTGAACACACCCATTACTTATGTTTTAAAGTAAGAGAAACCCGAAACGAGGCAACTTCACAACTGCAGCAAGGCTATTTGATGTGCTGTCATGGCTTAGGAATTGAGGGAGTGGTTGTTTGGGACATTTTGCGTATCAACCTTTTATCTCACTGCCTCATAGAGACATTAGTTATTGCAAGAAAAAATGTGAAATCTTTACATTAAGAAGACTTTGCTTCCAAGCACGAGTCACCCCAGCATTAAAAGGACAGTGGTGCTGTCAGCCAGTGGTTTCCTGGAAAGTCCAGAGCAGCAGTACTGGGAGGTCAAGTCAATTAACCACAGCTTACAGCACAGGCATGGCACTGTCAGGCATCAGGGCATCAGAGATTACAAAGGCTCGCAGGGACAGGACAAGGGGAATGGCTTTAACCTGCCAGAGGGGAGATCGAGATGAGCTCTGAGGCAGACGTTTTTCCATGTGAAGGAGCTGAGGCGCTGGCACAGGGTGCCCGGAGAAGCTGTGGCTGCCCCATCCCTGGCAGTGTTCAAGGCCAGGTTGGACACAGGGGCTTGGAGCAACCTGCTCAAGTGGAAGGTGTCCCTGCCCATGGCAGGGGGTTGGAACTGGATGAGGTCCCTTCCAACCCAAACCAGTCTGTGGTTCTGTGATTCTATTATTTATATTTTTTATGCCCCCGACTGCACATGGGTAGTATCTAACTCCAAATTTGTCATTTGATGTTACACATCAAATGGCAGTTGCACATCCTCCTCTGCCAGAACAGAGCTTAATCCTGTACACATGGTTTGGATGCAGCTGCAGGTTTTCTCAAACGTGCAGCTGCAGTCAAGGAGTTGGAGGGTTGGGGTTGGACTGAGCTCAGTAAAGAGAAGCAGCAAATACAGCTGAGATGGGATACACCACCACTTAAGCTTCAAAAAAGGTCAGTATTTTCCTTACTCAGAGAAAGCACAAACTTGTCAAAGAGACAGACAGGAAACTAGAACTGTCTTTGACAGCCACAAGAAAAACATGACTAATAATTCCATGTTATTGAGTTACAATTACTACAAGCCCATGACACATCATACACAACTGCTTTTTTCTCTTACCCAAAGTAAAGAAGGCCTCTGGCATACAGCACATGCACACCATGCTGACATACACAGCCTGCACCTGACCACACATGGAAAGAAAGGAAGTACATGTATGATTAAGAGATACTAGAGAAAAGCAAGTGATTACTGGTTATCTGTAGCCAGCTGCTCCTCAGACAGAGAATAAAATACATAAAATCAGTGATAATGAAAGTGCAAGCAGCAAATGACAGTAACAAAGCAAAACACATAATTTTTTACCTGCAGGTAAAAGTCACCCTCACTGCAACCCTTCAGAAAATGACACATCTCAATTGTTCCTTCCAAACAGGCAATTAGGTTTCTGGCATGAGCTACAAAATGAACAAGCCTCTATACTAAGTGCTGGCATTTTAAGACTGACAAAATACATTCTGCTCATGGAATTAAGGCTCCTGGTAAAAGCCTCCTTCGATTTACCAAGCAAACAGACAGGATCATCACAAGCTGATAAATTCAAATACAACAGACACAAAGTCCAACACATCTCTCTGTTCTCCGTAACACCACACATAATTTGTAAACCTCCATTCCAGAAGTCTCAGTGGTATGTGCTGTGCTATGCAATGCAAACAGAAGCTTCCTGTAAAACTCCTGAATGATTTTCATTAACTTTATAAAGGTAAACTGACAACTAAAACCTTGAAAGCACATGACCTGCCATTTGTATGTGTCCATGCAAACTCCTTGCTGAAGCCTCTCAGGTAAGAGCTTAAAAAAGTCTCAACAAAATGTTAGCTTAACACAAATTTAGTTTCTGGCTTTTCCCTTTCAAGAGACCAAGAAAGGGATGCTGAGGATTTAAAAAGGAATCTGCCTGCAGAGAAATGGTCTGAGACGATCAGATTGCACTGGTTACCAAATGCACCCTAAATGAAGAGCAGCTGGTCTGCTCCTCTGGCCTGGAAGCGGTGATGCAGAGGTGAAAGACAGTGTGTCCCCTCCCTGCCTGCACTCACCCACTGCCACATGCTGGTGCTACTGGCAAGTTAGGAACCCGAAGTTGAGTCTCTGACAGCACATCATAGGAATGGTTTAGGTTGGAAAAGACCTTTAAGA